CCTGAACTCTAAAAGGTACGAGAAACCCTAAACCCGAAAAGGAAACCCTGAACCCAAAAAGGTGAGGGAAGCCTGAACCTTGAAAGGAAACCCCAAACCGTGAACCCGAAAAGGAAACCTTAAAACCTAAAGGTAAGAGAACGCTTAAACCCTAAAAGGAAATCCTCAGCCCGAAAAGGCAACCCTGAACCCCTAAACCCTAAAAGGAAAGCCTAAACCCTAAACCCTAAAACGATATAAACCCTGCAAGGTAGGAGAAATCCTAAACCTTCAGAGGAAACCTAAACCCTACAAAGGTGGTGGCAAGCTTAAACCCCAAAAGGAAACCCTAAACCGTAACATGTAAGAGAAACCCTAAGGGAAACCTTAAACTCTAAAAGGTAAGGCATAGTTTAGTTTTTTAAGCCTTACTTAATTTTTTTGATCCCTTCCGCCTCATTTTCCTATGTTTTTTTACTACATTATAGCAATTTAATTAGAAAAAATAATGTATTTTTGTTGATCCTTAGTTTTTATTTTTTTGATCCTGTGGGTTAATTTTTTTGATCCCTCACCCTACCTGGGTGCGGCGGCCACCTACTCAGCATGTAAAACTTCGGATTTGTGGGAGCGCTGGCGCAGCCTTCGGAGACAGAAGGCAGCTTGTGTTATTGGCGATTGTCTTCTGTCAAAGAAGAAGCCAGGATTCGAAATGTGAGCGCGCACGACGTTCTCAGGCACATTACTCTGCCTCTCAGAAGGAAAAGGCTGCATTAAGAATTCAAAGCTGGTTCAAGAAATAAACTTGCAAGGCTGTGACAGATGGTGCGTATAGCGAGAGCTGTGGTTATTATTCAAGTTTTGGTGACCCTGATTCTGATTCTGAAGAAGATGCGACCACGCAGACACATTCGGCAGATGCGGCAGAAGAGGTGGGCTTGCAAAAACTTTTTGATTGGGGCTTGTGTAAACTGTAAACTGATCCCACGGAGCAGGTTTGTGCAGAATCCTTAGTGATAGTAGTAGTGGTGGTGGAGGAATAGTAGTCGTAGTAGTAATAGTCGTTGTCGTCGTAGTGGTTCTGCTAGCCCCCTCCTGAGATGAAGCTAGTGCATGCCTGCCTTCACAAAGTGTGCAGCCAGTGCGCTCTAGTGTCTCTTCTCACGCTGTGCTGGCTGTGATCCGTTGGAAGATACTAATTCACCCCGCCCTACCAACTACCTTTCTCAACAAGACAACTCAGAAAAGCAAGGCAGGCGCGGTGCTTCTCCACTTCAGAGGCACTTGCGCTGTTAAGGAACTTAACTTGGATCATTAACTACTGTATACCCCTATTATGGTAACTTGAATTAAATTCCGTAACAGTGAACTTGCGACTTCGGAGGATCACCCGGTGATGGCGCACCGGGGCTTGAGAGGAAAATCTGAACTTAAATCCTGAACTTGACAGCTGTATAAAGGCTTTGGAAGGTAATGGTGCCCCTTTTGCGGCAACTGCGGATGATCGTCCGGAGGTGCAAATGGAAGTGTCTCCGAGGCGGAGAAAACCCCGCACTTGCCTTGGTTTTTGTGTGTTGTGTTGGCGAGAAGGGGTGGCTTCTTGACAGCTTACCACTCCCACCACCGCCGTTACCAGTACGGCTACTCCAGTTGCTCTTGTCGAACTCATGCAGCTTTCTAGTGTGAGTGCCATTGAAGATGCAGGCGCAGCAGTTTCCTGGTGAAATGCTAAGGTAAAGGATGATAACGTAAGTTTGCGATCAAAGGTATGTGTTCACATTACAGCCCAGGTGCTGATAGCCAAGCGGGTGGATCCTTTAATCGGTCGACACTGGCACCATTATGAAAGTGGCCTTGCAGCAGCAGGTTCTATTCATCGTTTTCCGCGCTGTAGGAATATTTCGGATCTTCTCAGGTCTACAGCTGGTGAACTGCACTCCAGGCTTGGAAATATTGAGTTGCGGTTCAATACGCCGCTCGGGTGGCGGACGGGCTGTTTTTCAAGCTGCTGTTGAGAATGCTCGAGATCGTAGCATTCCATTCTTGATATGGACCCCACTGTGGAGCGAAGCTGGTGATGCACGCTGTTTCTGGCGACACTGTGGGTTCGCCGAGTATGAAGAGCTGAAAGGGCTTTGGCTGCATCAAAAACATAGAAATTGCCGCTGTTAATTACAATCAAACTCGCCAAAGCCTGGCACATGCAATGTCAATGCCGTGCGCTCTGCACGGCTTTGTGCCACTGGTTCTGCGGCTTTGAGTTTGTATGGCGCTGCCGGACTCAAAAAGCGGCCTGCTTGCGAAGTCACTTCCGTTTCCCCGCAACATACCTCACCCGGGTGACACATCAAAAAAAATGATAAGCATCAAAAAATAATTTACCACGGTAGCCATCAAGAAAAAATTTGCTAAGCATCTAAAAAATGTTTGATAAGAGGGTTTAGGCTCTAGACCGTAGCCATCAAAAAGAATGGAGGGGTTAGGATTTTTAATAGTGTTTATCAAATTTTTTAAGATGCTTATCAAATTTTTTTGATGCCTATGCCACCGTCATTTTCTTATGAGTTAAGCCCAAAGCCAAAATCCACGATGGGCTGATAGGTCAGTACCAGCCATTCCTAGCCGCTGCTTTCCATGAGACACATCATGCGGACCCGGATATAGGTGCAACCGGGACTGCTTTCCGTCACGAGGAGGCGGGGTTTGCTGCACGTGTCTGCGGCACAGTGCCGCCCGTGAAGCACGACCAGGACTCAGGCATCTTCGAAGCGCGAGGTCTGGAAGGTGCCTGTGCTGGAGGGTGTTTCGATGCTAGTGGTCAGTGCATATATCGACAGAAAATTCCAGTCCTCAAACTTGGGCTCGAGAGCAGTGCTTTCCACCATGTCGGTGTTGCTCTCTCGACGAAGCTGGGCTTGCGTCCCCTTGCGACTCTGTCTTGCCTTGTGTGGTGCTCTGTGCGCACTCGGCTGCCTCGGCTGCGATGCTGGCTGCAGGCATGCGGCTCCTCGGTGGCAGACTATCTGGAAACTCTGCTTGCAAGACCCTACACTAGCGGGGACAGCCCGAGGATGCTGCCAACTGCGTCCTGGGCAATGCTGCCGACTGCGCGGATCTCGCCAAGTTTGGAGGACACTTGGTGCAATCAATATCTGCCAAGGGAGAGCCAGCGCCTATGACGTTTTGTTTTTGCACATCAGCCCGACTATGACAGGCTGTATCAAGGAGGCAAACTGCTGCGAGTCTTCCGATGCATCTTCCGAAATATCCAGTATGACCAGTTGGAGGACTTCTGCAGTGCTCTGGTGACCTTGTGTAAAAAACCTGGATGCGAATATGTGGATGCCATAGATGTTTTGCAGGGATTTCCAGGGATTGTTGTCGGTCACAGCCATCACTGTCGTTTTACTTGACTCAAATGCAGAGACAGGAACTGTTGACGCAGGAAACGCTTGAACGAGCTCTATGCTGCAGCAGACCTGGCTGGGTTGTCTTGTGAGCCAAGCCCCTGTGTGAGCTAGGCCACAGGCCTGGGAACTTCCCTCAAGCTGTTGGACCGAGCTCCACCCGCTCCTGCTCGCTTCTGAGCGATGTGAGGCGGCGAATGCCCCATAGAATGCCCAGTCTTCAACGTGAGGGCTGCGTTGGAGAGGAGCTTGCGACGAGAACGGCATTCAGCGCATCAGCGCGTATCGCGTGACAACGGGTCGAACAGCCACAGCTGCAAGTCAGAGGGGTCAAAGGGCCCCGCATGACCCATCCGATTCACACTTAATTGTTTTCGCACCGTGCAAAGTCGCGTAAAGGCTGCAGCAGATCTTGGAGGATGTCCAAAATGAGACTCTTAGTCTTAGCAGGCTGGGCATGTCGTGCACCAGCTCACAGTGCCTCAGGTCTGGGACTGCGGACCCTGCGGAGGCCGTGAAGAACTCTGGCCTTGGACGTTTGTCCGCCCCTCGCTCCGATGGACTTGGCGCAGAGCAGCCCTCCGCGCCCCACCTGCCCGAAGAACGGGCGGCCGAAGATGCGGACTTTGTGGATGAGGGGCCTGGCGAGGCCCTCGCCGTGGATGCACTGGCGCCAGCAGCAGCCATGCTCCACAAGAATGTTCTAGTGGAAGGCTTTGATGAGCCTCTGCCACTAGAGGCACTGGACCCGCAGGACCAGAAGGCTTCCCAAAACACGCCCCTCAATTCCCTTCAATCTTGCAAGTTACAATGTTTACAAGTTGCATCGAGTTGCCATGAGCCGCCAGGACTCGCTTGACAAGCTTCCACACGTTGCTGGGGGGCACAGCCGACCCCTGAAGCCGCCTTACGAGCACATCCGTCGCGCTCCGCCAGGGCTCCTGCAACGCCTGGCCGAGGTGGAGAAGTTGGAGGGCAAGTCCAAGGCTCGAGGGATTTCGGGTCAAATCCCCAACTTTCTGCGCCCTCCTTTGCGCCCTGGCCCCGGCCCAGGGCTCCAAGCGGACCAAGCGACGAGGGCAGTTCGAGTTCGACGACGATGTGCCCGTCCGAGTTCGGGTGCTGGATGTGGATGCATTGGCTTTGGAAGAGCTGCACAAAGCCTTCATGTACACGTTGGTGCGTCGGCGACCTGCAGAAGTTTGTGTGCGAGTGGCCTCGCGGCTCGCTGTCTTCCGGGATAAGCCGGGCCAGCAATCCTATCAGAACCTCCTCCAGGACTGTGGGAGGCTTTTCGGCTCGCTCCATGGGCCGGAGCTTCTGGCTCTCTTCGCCCGATGCATCTCTGCAAGCACTGTGTGTTTCTTTTTGCCGTGGGTCCCGTTCAAGCACCTCTGCGCAGCATCCAACTAGTAACTAGATCGTAAAGCGAGGCTTTTCCACCATCTCCGTGCCGTTCATGCTCGACTACACAAGGAAGTATGGGCACTTCTCCCGCGGGTTCCTTGCAGAGCAGGTTGAGAAGAGTCTCCGGCCTGGTTTCTTCGATTTCTTGCGGTACGAGGAGAATGGTGGCGTCCGGCCGCTGCCACTGATCGTAGCAAAGCCATGGTCCCTCGGACTCACATTGGCAGACCGAAAGATCTAAGAAGTTGCGCCGCTGCGCCTACCGTTTTCGCCCTCAGGAGCCTCGGGTCCTACACACGGCTGATGACCAAGAGCTACCTCAAGAGCCGCATGCACGAGCAGCTGAAGCTTCACGGCCATGTCCCGAATGTCGAGCAAGACACCGACCCAGCCTCTTCAGCTGCACCTGGAGGATAGATTTTGTGCTTTCCGTTAGGGCGGTCCGGAACTGAGGACATGCCTCCAGAGGCAAGGGTCATCGAGCACCTCGGCCGTGCAGGATCCTTGCGGGTCGAGGCACCCAAAGGGCCGTCACCAGAGGCCGGGCACAAGGCATCAAGAGCTTTTGGACTTTCAGCGTGGATCAGCCGTAGGACCTAACCGTGAACCATTAAGTCACCGGGCACGACAACTAGTAGTAGCCTTTCCAGCTTCTTCACAAGCTTTCCCATGTTGTGAGCTGTCAGGGATGCACATGCTAAGCTTGCCTGCTAGGTCCAACGGCCTGCGTTGCTGGAGGCCATTGTCCAGGTGGGATGCCACGGGCCCGAAATGGATGTCTATTGCGGCATCGTTCTTGGCATGTTTCCATCATGTTGCTTGTCCCAATCCGCCGCTTCATTAAAGGCTGCAGTGGTCTGGACCAGCCAAATTGTTTGCGCATGTGCCAATTCACCGACATTGCTCAAGCGAATCTGAAGCGACCGTCGCACACACAACTATCTCCCGGGGTTGTCGGTTGGCTGGCCCCGCCGGCGACCTGACCTTCCTTTCCTTGAAGTTGCTATGGACGCCGAGCGGCCGAGCGAAGGATGAGCCATTCTGAGGCAGCAATTGCTCGATCCATCCTTTTGAATCCGCTTGTCAATGTTCCTGGTTAGGTGGTCAAAGCCGGTACTCCTGCCGCCTGTCTTGCCAGGCGAAGCGCTGGGTCATCGTCCAGCCCCAGTGGGGCCTCTGCAACCGCCTACGGGCTGTGGCCTCCGGGCCAGCCTGGGCCTGTCTCGGATTCGATCTTATCGCATTCCAGTCGCCAGGCGCATGCTCGCCGAACATCTCTCTCGAAGTTTCCTTGTGGACTGGCAGCCGCTGCCCGGCTGCAACTGTGCATGGGATCGCGGGGACCTCAGCTCGGCAAACTTCCAGAGCATTCGAAGCTGCGCGGAAGCTGCGAAGCTCGAGGTCTCTTCTCCTCGGAGTCGAAGACTCTAAGCGAAGAGCTTCAGGAGGCACCCATGCGATGTGAGAGACAAGATGTCTTCAGCTGCTCGCTGCCATGAGGATCCAGATCCTTCCGTGCTGGCTGCTGCCGAACTGCTGCATGCCTGGGACGAGGCTGGTTTGCGAGCTGCAGCTTTTCATGTTTGAGTCGCTTCTTCTCACAGCATTCGAGGTCGTAGTCCTGGTCTTGCCGGCCTTGCTTTCCGCGCCATCCGTCTTGCTATGTCTTGCTCATGAGCGCAGCGTGCCAGGCCCGTTGCAAACCTGACAGCCAAGAACTCAGGCGCGGCCTCTGGTGCCCTGCCCCTGCGAAAGAGGGTGCTCTCGCTCCTTTGGGCAAGGGGAGCGATGCGGAGCTTCGAGGCCTTCCACAGAGAATGCTACCGAGCAGGAGGGACATTTCAGCTGGCTTTGGGCCTGTGACCTGTGTGCTCAGCCAGGGCTAGCTTACCTCCTTGATGCTGCTTCCGAGAAATGGAGGTCGTGCTAGACTCAGTTCTGCCGACTTGTGATCTGAATGATTTCAGTGCTGACGAACGTCTCAGCAGTTCGTGGTCGATGAAACGAATTGAGGTGCAGGCCGTTTCACGGACGCGACAGTCTGCACTTCGGCTTGGAGTGTTAAAAACCTGCCTAACGATCCTAAAGTTCGATGCTTCTTGAGTGGAGACTCAGGCCGAGCTTCCTCGAAGTAGATGCCCGGCAGTGTTATGGCAAAGCATTTGCTTCTGCAGCGTTCTCATTTGTGTCTGTGAGTGTTTTTCTGTATCAGGATTGCCTTTGCGTCAGAGCCTTCAACCCGTTCTACCCACCCAGGCAGACACGAATGTAATGCGCGGGAGTTGGCATGCCGTGTTACACTTGGTGTCATGTTCCAGAACTTGACCCCGACACAGGGAGGAGGATCGACAACAGCTCGCTGCAGAGCGGGCAGCGCACCTGAGAAGCTGGGCTGCACTGGTCCGAAGCTTCGATGTTTCTTTCCCCACTGCCATGGCCCAGATTGCCTGGTGGCCGCTGCCCCTGTGCGCCAAAGGCTCTGGCAGCTGCCCGAAGGCTCAAACCTGAGGACGAATCGCTGCAGCTCTCCCCGAACTCCTTGCAGGCACGATCTCGGTTCACATCCGCCGCACGGACCACGCTAAGGCCCCGGCCGTGCCAAAGACACGGCCAGCTGCCGTCAGCTCATGTAGCCTTGGCCGACGAGGTTTCTTGATTGCCCTTTGTGAGGCCATTGCGAGATCGCCCGAGGACACGTGCGCATGCGATGTGCGCAAGAAATATTCGCTCATGCAGAAAATTCTTGAAAGACTGCGATAGACTGCGTGGAGAGCAAGGTTGAGGCATGGTGAGCGATGCAGCTGTGTCCTGCAGAATTCTGCAGACTGCAGACATGTTTGCTGCTTGCGTGTTCAGGACCTGTTCGTACAAGCCATGGACTCTTATGGAACAGTCACCTGACTTGAGAAGCTGAAGCAGAGAAATAGCCAGAGGATGTCTCTCGAAAAGGAAGCCAAGTTCTTCTTAGCGACGGACGACGCCGAAGTCGAGTCGCGGTTGCGACGGCGTCGCTCTGGCGCACTTGGTATTTTGTGGGCCGAAGACAATCCAGCTCCGAAGATGCCACAAGCACAGGGTGAGGAGCCGAACCATGCCGAGCCCTGGGGCAGTCTAAACCTGTTGTTGGAACGACTCCATTACGTTTCATCTCATCCTTGGAGATTCTCCACAGCCAGGTTATGGTCAGCGTCTCCTGACACAACCCAAGCGCACGCTCAGCCGCAATGATCCGGATGGAGCTGGACTTAGTACCTCTGTCTATTGCCCGTGCACAATGTCTTCTGCCCTGCACGATTCGACGATGTTGCTCTGTCAATGTAACGCAGCTCTCGACATAAGGGCCAGGCTTCAAGCTGTTGGGAGAGCTGCAAGCCCGAAGCCATTCGTCAAGCTTCGAGGTATTGAAGATGCCTTGTTGGACCTGCTGATGCTGTCGCAGGGGAGTGAGGCAGGAAGGGGTCTAAACGCAGCGTCCGGGTTCTTAGTTTTCCACAAATGCGTTTTTAATTTCCGGGTACTAGCCCCCCCCCCCCCCCCCCCCNNCCCCCCCCCCCCCCCACCATCAGGCTGCCTCACACGTTGGGATTCTTGTGGGGGTCGGTCGTGCGACTGGTGTGAGTGCGGCTTGCTCGTGTCATCACTCCAAGGCGTTGCAAAGTAGGTCATGCTGTCTGCGTGCCTAAGCGCACAAGTGATACTCTTACTGTACCTGGCATGCTGAGAATCTTCTGATTCCTGTGCCATGGCAACGTAGGCAGATCAGGCCTTGCAGCTCGATTCCAGAGCCCAGAAAAAGTGCAGGTCTTGGGCTCTTACAAATCCTCCTTCTCTGCGATGGCCTCGCACTTCCGGTGCATTCCGTCGCCCCGGCCTGCCGATTCTGCCCCTACATGAGACATGGCCATGCCTTTTCCACGTCTCGAGACCTGATTGTGACGCCAGGCTTCATGTTGTGGATGTGCGTCCCGAAAGTGCTCCCGACCCGGCTGGAGCCTGACGCGCTCACGGCCCTCAATTAAGTTCTGAGCTTCGGTGCAATCGTGGCAATTTCGTTGAGGCCGCCAGGGTCGGAGCAGGCTTCCGGGAGGTGTCGGTGGTTGCAGCCGACCCGGAGGATGACTGAGACTGCCCGCCTGTCCACTGTCGACAGTTTGTGACCGGGCAGAAAGCTCGACTTCATAGGGTCACAGGGTAGCCAAACAGTCCGAAAGCTACTAAGCGCTGCATCTCTAAAGGCAGAGCCTTAAAATCCGCTTGACTTGGCTATCCTGCATTGCCGCCCTTGCCGGGCCAGGTCCGGGTGATCGGCGCGTCGGAAAAGTGCGCCAGTGCGTAGGGCCTAGGGGCAGACCGACAGCCGAAGGCTCTTTCTGAGCCTGTGAGGCGGAATACTCTGGCGTTGGTTGGGATGCCTCTCAGGCTGACGGGTCGACGACCAAGGAGAAGCCACGTCCGTTCATGAGAGGAGCTCGACGTGCCATGGCAGAAGCCGAGTTGCACGATTCAGATGGCGAAGGGTACTCAGATTTCTACGATTCCGATGACGAGGAGGCGGTCAGCGACGACGAGGGTGGTACATCTGGAGGAAAGAAGTTTGGATTACAATTTGAGCGAGTGGTGCCCGACTCTGCTTATTCTGCCATTGCAGAGGACGGTGCTCTGGTTGATGCTGAAAAGTTGCAGAAGGATTCTGCCACTGCGTCAACCGAGTTGGAAGAGGCATTTGCTGATCGCTGGTGGTCGCAATTTCGACGCCATTTTTTCAGACATAACTATGGGGCGTATCGCTTGTTGGATGGCCGGTGGCAACGGGTGCCGGATCCGAACGGCCCCAGGTACAAGCCACGGCAGAGGAAGAGGCCCCGCGGCCAAAAGAGAGAAGAAGCACAAAAGCGAGAAATGCGAGCAGCAAAACCTGCTGGAGTTTGACAGTCGAATTGGAGCTGTTGGAACCTGTTCTGCATCGCTGCTTGTGAGACTTGCTTGCGCTTCGCCTCGCCTCATGAAGGAAAGACCGTCACATGCTTAACGCAGGATGTGACATGTGGGCTGAAGGGCTGTACCGTCAGATGGCAGCGCTAGCAGGATTCCGTTTTACGATGCATATGAGAGTTGTTCTAAACCTGCTCCAAACAAGGGCGAAGCGCAAGGGGATTTTCGAGCAACAGGCTGCAAGCATAATAAGGAACAACCCCCATATAGTTTATGCATATAATGATCATTATGACAATGTGATACAACAAGAATGGAATGCTGGTGGAGTTTCAGTATAACCCATCAAATCCAGATGCTTGCGGCAAACCCCACAGAATTGAACCAAATGGCTTGATGATCCCCTCAGGCTTGTTGCTCTCTGCGTGTTCAGTAGATGCGAGTTAAAGACTGTAGTATGCATGCTGCCAGGTAGTGGCATTCCTATATGTATGGATGGATGGATGGATGTAAGTATAATTTGGGAGGAAGCTCGTGCATGTCGCTGTTAATGGGCTTCTGTACCTGAACCCGTTTGCGCAGAGCTCTTATGATGAACCATGAAGAAGCAGACCTAGATTTCGTTTAGCTTATTCTTGTCCGAGGCGGGCTGCTCGAGCTCTATGGTGCTGTGTAATCCTACGGCTGTGGAATGCCTTTAATTGTAAATGCACTCCCCTTAGACTAAAACATCTGCCAAGGTGCTTAGTCCGCTCCGCATACCGACACGTGAGCTGTCGCACGCGCACACAGTAAGCTCGCACTCTTACCGATCTTACCGCGACCCTTGCTGCTCCTGCAGACGGATGAGCTTCTTGCTAGTGAGACCGTTCATGACGAAGCCCTTCAAGACTGAAGTGCTTAGGTTCATGAGGGAGAAGCCTAGACTGCACCGAGCAGCTGTGAAGCAATTTGGCGTCAAACGCAACCACGGAACACAGAGAAGCATGCGCAACAAGTAACCAGAACAGGCTGAGTTTACCCAGCATCATCAATGTGGCAAATGCCAACGTCATGCGAGATACATCGCAAATGATGTCTGACAATGACTGCCAATCGGAGGAGTTCTTGTGGAGCTTGGGCGTTGGAGCCTCGCTTCCTTCTTGGCTGCAAGAGATGCGCCACGAGCAGCGGCAACGGGGGCTGAATCAAGGCCCTCACGTCGACACGCACAGCAAGGAACGCCTGGGCGTTGGGCCTCAAGTTGGGAGCGGTCGTCCTCATGCCGCGCCTAGACGAGCGACTGCTGATGGCGCGAAAAACACAGAAGTGGAGATCAATGACCAATCGGCTCAGTCCCCGGTGTGCAAGTGTGCAAGTGGCGGCCACAGGTTGCTAGCCGTGTTTCATGATTTTGTCGTTTTATTCAGCTCAAGGTAGCCGAAGCCTTGGCGAGCCCAAGACGGTGCGGCTGTCGCAGTGTCGCACGAGCAGCGACTGCCGAATGAGAGTTGCACCCGTGCGTTTTTTTGACAGGGTTTGCATGGCCCTGGAAAGCTGCAGCCTGAAGGCAAGGCCCCCGAGTTTCAAGCACAGAAGTGCTGTTTCGAACTTGGCAGCGCGAGGACTGGCTAATCAGTCTAGATGATTCCGGTTTTCTCGCGCCTTGGCAGTTTCACACCAGAAGATCTTGAGAAAGAACTCCTTGAAGCAGTAAGGTACAGTACCATGATAGCATAGCGAGCAAGCTGGACAGCGTAGCTCAGATTGTGGAGACCTACGCGAAGGCAAGGCAAGACTGAACGATGCGGTGCTTCGTTTACGGTCCAGAATATCTGCCGGAACTACAGGACTCAGGCGAAGTTGATCCTCAGTTCTTTGACGATGCCGGGATCACCAAATTAGGACTCATTCCAACTCGCAGCAGACAGATTCTTTACAGTAGGTTTGACAGCCTCGGCAGGACATCGCCGCCTTTTCCAGAAATGGTTTCGCGAAAACTGTTTCGTTGGAGGCGTTTGGGTAGCAAGGTACAAAGCGGGTTCAGCCAAGCTCGCAAGATGAGATGACATGACATGGATGTGCCCTGGCGTCGCCAGCCACGAGACATCGTTCGGATCAGACCTTAATCGGAGTCCAGCACGCGCAAAAGGCTTTCAATTGTGGGATGCTACAGTATATGGTCGATGTCAGGATCCAGGAACTGCGAGGAAGTTGCTGTGTGTTTTGCAATGTCCTTTTTTTGCCTGGGGCCCTGGGGCTCGATCAGCTGGTCATGCTTTTGGGAGCAGGAAATCAGCTACTCAAGCTGCCTGCGCAGACGGGCTCATGAGGTGAATCTGTTGGTTCAAAAATAGTCATTTGCACGTAACTCACACTTTAGCGGTAGCGTGGAAGACACGTCCCGCAGCTTTGCCACATGCTCTGGGCCATGCTTGAAGCAGATGAGCTTACGAAGTCGAAGCTTTGGGCGGCCCTCTGGGGCTCCCTGCCGTGCAATGACCAGCGGGCACAACTTTTGGAGATATCTGATATGCTGAAGTTGCAAAGTCCACGAAGCACAGAGTTCCCGAGTGCCGCTGGGGATCTCGAGGAAAGCGGGAGCGAGTCCACAGACTCGCTGAGAACACATGGAGTTTCTTTCCAGAGCTGTGCCGCAGAACCACTGCGGGAGATCAGTCTCAATGATCCTGACCCTATTTTTTTGTATCAAGCGAATCCTAACCTGCAGCACGAGCCTTATCCGAAGCGATTCACGGTGCTGACTTGGAACGCGTGTGCGATCTCCTTTCCTCTGCACATTCATCCCACGAAGTTTGTCCTGGGCCTCATACTTGGATGCTGGTGGCACGATCGTTATTGTGATGTGCCGATGCGTCTGGATCAGGACTTGGGCATGTTAAGTATCTTTTGTCTCGCTCATGTAATGTCATGTTGATCATGTGACTCCGGTTTCCACTGCGTTGTCATATTGTGCTGCACAACGATGGTTGAAGTCTGAGTCCATGTATCTCTTGCTTGTATTTTAAGACGGCGCCTGCAACGTATATGTCAATAAGGCTTGCAGATGGCTGAGATGATCTACAGCATGAAGACCTAGTATCATCAGCAGTATCATTCGTTCAGGCAATATATACAGTAGCTGCGAGATGCATTTGCGAACTTCTTGAACGGCCGCATCCACGTACACAAGTTAGTGCGACATTTCACGCAACAACGGACAACAGCATCAGCCTTTATTTCGAGCCCAATGTCACTCTGTGGAATCTGACGCTTATTCTTCATTCATATCAGACTTGTTTCTACTGTGCTGAGACCGATGCGGGGCATCAGCTTCCGTTCCTGCCAGATGAACTGCACTGCATTCATTGCATTTGCAAGTAGCGCGAGTTCGGTTCACATTATCTAGTCTCGGGCTGCTGCTCATCTGGATCCCGTTGCATCTTGTCGAGAATCAAGATCACTAATCTCAGCAGTGATGTTACGGTTAAGACCATGGCCGTGATTTCCCTCAGTATTGCTTCATGTTAGTTTGGCAAGTAATTGCTTTTGATACGCCTGCCGCTTGCTCATGTTGTCTAGTCGGCCGTGTCCTTCGTACTGTTCGCAGTTCTCTTACTCTTATTGGTGTTCTTCTTAATGTTGCTCACCTTCTGTATAGCATGACTCTTGTCATTCATGTTGGCATCCAGACCCTACATCTTGAGAGTCCACGTGTTGTGTTGAGAGTCAGAGGCCTTGGGCTTCGGGCGTTGGGTTTCAAGCATACGATTCGAAAACGTCGCATATAGCTGATCATGGTGCTTCATAAATTCAGCTGTTTGTTACGAGCTCATGGCCTGCAAAAGCTTTATCCACGACTGAGAAGCTGCAACATGTAGTTCATGTTGAACATGTCATGAGCACACTAGGTTGATGCAATGATGTTGCAGTGCAAACTAGGATCACCCAGAATGATGAGAGTATAACGCTCTTCGGAAGCTTCTTTTGAGGACCAGGAGTTGATGAGGTGCTCGTAACTCGTAGCTGTCTGTGAGGACAGCGCCCAGGCCCGATTCGCACGGCAAGCTGCTTACATCCAAGACTCGGGAGCTGACCTGGTGTTGCTTCAGGAAGTGCTAAGCACCTTGATGGTTCAGAGCCTCATGCGCCACCTTTCCGACTTCGACCACACTTACCTCACCAGTAGCCCCAAGCCTGCAGCCTGGGTACTCTGGACGGGATTCGTGGCGCTCGTTTCCCTTGCACAGTGCATCCTGATTGAGGTGCCGTTCTGTGCGTTGAGAGGGACTGAGGGTGTCTGGCTTTCTTTCTTTGTACGCTGGATGATCCTTGCCACAATCCTTGCTCTCCGATGGCGAAACTCCGTTCCTGCCCATTTTTTGCTGGGTGATGTGGCAGGACAGCTGGTAGTACTGCGTCGCAAGGAAAGCAAAGCCTTGGCTGGAGCCGAGTTTGGTGCTGAAGGCTTCGAGATCTACGATGCAGGCTTTCGAGCAGAACGTCACGACGATCCTCTGAAAAAACCAGAATCTGCAATCGAGGCGTCCTCGTGGCTCAACGTATTCTTCAACGTTCGGCCGCGAGGGGTTCTTCGTGTAAGAGTTCCTTTGAAGCGAGCACCAAGACCTGCAGTTTTGACACTGTTGAACACGCACATGCCCCACAACTGTGACAATTCCGACCTCCTGCAGAGTCTTGGAAGGTTCGCAGGAGACCTGGCCAAGCAAGGCACGGACGTCTGCTTCCAGTAAAGAGATACGAGCCAAACGGTTTGCTGTGCTTTGCAAGGAGATAGGTGCACTTCAGATTCTGTGTTTCCTTCGTTCTGCCACTCCAAAATACATACAGCGCCTGTCTCCATATACAGAGCCTTTCGTATCGACCATGTAGCATCACGTGAATGGTTTCCAGCATTGCGGCGGCAACGAACCTGTGTTTGAACCATGCCCTGCAGAGGCCCTGTCATTCTTGCGGGCGACTTCAACCCCTTGCCCGACATTCCGCTCCAGAACCAGCTCGATCCCTTGCTCCAAAACGGCTTACAAGCTGCAGGTGGATTGGACGATGAGCTCTGCACGTGGGATTTGAACCAGGCACTGACTCGAGAGAACGCCGGCACTCCGCGCACGATGCAGCTGGACTTCATCTTCCATGTGTGCCCGGAGGCTCGCGTGCCTGGTGCCTCAGAGGACGTCTGCACATCAGGTCTGGGAGGTTACGGGGACCACGGAAGTATCGAAAGCTGCGGCTCTTACGACTTTCTGGATCTCACGGCCTTGCGCACGACAATCGCCGACCAGGAGAAATTTTTTTGTGAGGGCGACCCACTATCCGATCACTATGGGCTCATTAGCGAGTTTCAGATCGATTGAGAGTCCTCCAATTTACTAAACTCTAGCATGACCTTGCTTGCAGCCAGAAATATGCTAGTATGGCTCCACATAGCAGGTCTGGAGTTGCATGTTCCGGGCGGAGCCTTGCCTGTCCGGCTGATTTTCCAGGGAAGAACGCCAGCAGCACACGAGGCGACACATGCAAACGCATGGATCGCCAATCTGCCGCTCGCATGCCGCTTGAGCCCCTAATTCCTCTCAGGTCCTGCGTTTTTAGCACTTCTACAGTTCTACATTCCTCCTTTGTCAGACCAGTTTCCCGTAGAGCTCCCGGCTCTCGGCCGCGAGCAGAGGCGGCCCTGTAGATCCCTTAGCAATTCAGGCACTCGGACACACTCGTCACTCGGCTCACTCTTCACTCGGCTTCTGTTGGTGGCCTGATTCACACTTGGTTGAGGCCTCCTGCACAGCCTTGTACTTGCATGCAAGCTGCCCCAAGTGTGGCTGCCAGCAAGAGCCTGAGCGAGGAAATGTGGAACTTGCGATGTCTGCTGCATCGAGATTGGCGTCGGTTGGAGCTGTTGCCGTCTCGCTTGCGCTAGCTTCAGAAGTCTGGTTCCGGCTCCAGCAATGCTTAGCCTCAACAGCTGCCAAGGCCGCTAACAGCTGGAATCACAAGATATTCAGATGTTGTAGTGAGTGCTCCTCGGCACATCTTGTGTCATGCAGTGGCAAGAGGCGAGCACCAAACCTGTCAAACGCAAGCTTGCATCGAATGTCCCATGTCCAGCAGCAGCACCACCACCAACCCCGTGTAGACACCTGCTGTGACGGCACCTTCGGCACCCACAACACGCCACGAAGCCGTCACAGAACCGTGCTGGACACGCTTGTACTCAGTGGCCCGAAGTTGCCTGGCACGCGTGGCCATGGACTTGGAGGCGATTTGGGCTCTGACATTCTCGGATGATCTCGGATGTTTCAACTGTGGATGTCTGTGGGAAAGTCGTAAGTATGTGGGGAAATCTCGGAATTTGCAGTGCTGACCAAACGCGAGGTCTCCGACCATGAGGGCTCTCCCTGCACTTCTCGTCCAGCTCACTCTGGCAATGAAGGCCCAAGCCTGGTGAAGGTGTGTAAAGTCTGCAACCCCATGCCTCGCAACCAGGAAAATGAACCCTATGAGCCTTACACCGGCCCTGCATTTGAGGTGACTTTGCCTCCCATCCGCGCCGAGCCGCCATTAATCCTTCTCATGCGGGGCACTCGATCTCCTCGTTCAGAGGACGAGATCAGAGAGGCAGGAAGTGCGGATGCCTGTGCCTTCGCACTGCGTAACATGCCGGGACAGTGCCGTGAGCATGAGCATAATGGGGTGTAGATCGTGCTCTGCCACAGTGCTGAGAGCATGTCGGATTCTCGATCGCTTCAAGGCTCTGAAGTTGTGACAGCCAGGCACAGGCTACGCGGGGCCACACTTTTGAGCCTCTGGGGCTCTTCTGTATGGTGTCCGACATGCAGCACCGCCTTTGTGCCGCTGGTGTGGAGTCTTGAGAATTTCGTTCCCGTGTGGTGGGTTTCGTGTGTTGTTCGTGGACGGCCCGGTGTGTTTTCGCTTGTAGAAGCCCGTGCTCCCGCCATCGTCCCGTGCGTTTGCTCCTCGCCAAGTTTTGCATCGCCGCATTTGTGAATGAATGTCGTGCTCCTGCCAGAATAATGTCGTTCGTA